AAGGCTAAACAAAACGGAAACATTTTAAAACGATTACAGAGTTTCAGAAATAACAATAAAACATCCCCAAAACACAAACATATCAAGTCCCCTTCTTATTTTGCGTCCTCTCCCCTCCCCTTCCTTCTCTTCCCCTCTCCCCCCACTCTTACTTACTCTCCCACATCAGTAGAAAGGGCAATATCAGTAACAGCGACGCAGTTACTCGTATCATTACCACACTGGAGACTCAGTGAAGCGTTGTTTGTAATAGGCTTTTGAATTACGGGTGTGATACCTCCTTTTGATACGGGGCTGAGAGGTGCCAGCGATATGTTCACCTTGGCAACGGGCCCTGGTATAGCGTCCTTCTCTTTTGCTAAGTTCTGAAGGAGATAGATAGATAGATAAATAGTATGTGTGTGTGTGTGTGTGCGTGTGTGTGTGTGTATGTGTGTGTGTATGTGTATATGTGTGTGTGTGTGTGTGTGTGTGTGTGTGTGTGTGTGTGTGTGTGTGTGTGTGTGTGTGTGTGTGTGTGTGTGTGTGTGTGTGTGCGTGCGCGCGTGCCTGCGTCTAGAATTGTTTTTTATTTAATTGTGTGTGTCTGAGTAGATGGTGTGAAGCCAATTTTCTGCTTACCTCAGCATAGACACCAAACTCATGCATTTGCGTTCCAGGCCTCGATTCGAGAAAGAAATCGGCAAAGGGAGATCCAGTGTCATTGAAGAAAATCCGTTTTCTTTTGCCCGAATCAAGATCAATCTTCACACGTAACTCTGAAGAATATAAAGAACTCTAGAGTGAAAAAAGTATACAAGAGAGATAAGGAATGAAAATAAAAACCGAAAAAACTAACTTCTCTCCCCCCAAAAGTACAGGGCACAATAGATAATATTACTAAACTAATAATAATACAGAGTATAGAGAAATAAATAAATATATGAAGCTGAAATCTTCGACTCACTGAAGCCACTATCTCGAGGTCTTCCTTCTTGGCGAACCTCCAGCAGGAGACGGAAGCAGTTTTTTCTCTCGCCGAAGACGTCGCAGTCCTTCTGACGGAGGTCGACGGTGGGCGGGTCGAAGCGAAAGGTCTCCACGCGCAGCTTGGGCACCGGGGCGGCTCTGGGGGGCGGTGGGGGGGCGGGGAGAGGGAAAGAGAAGAGGGGGGTGGAGGGAGGGAAAGAGAAGAGGGGGGTGGAGGGAGGGAAAGAGAAGAGGCGGGTGGAGGGAGGGAAAGAGAAGAGGCGGGTGGAGGGAGGGAAAGAGAAGAGGGGGTGGAGGGAGGGAAAGAGAAGAGGGGGTGGAGGGAGGGAAAGAGAAGAGGGGGTGGAGGGAGGGAAAGAGAAGAGGGGGTGGAGGAAGGGAAAGAGAAGAGGCGGGTGGAGGGAGGGAAAGAGAAGAGGGGGTGGAGGGAGGGAAAGAGAAGAGGCGGGTGGAGGGAGGGAAAGAGAAGAGGGGGTGGAGGGAGGGAAAGAGAAGAGGGGGGTCGAGGGAGGGAGGGAGGGGTAGAACGGTTGATGGGATGAATGGATATATGAATGGATGTACGCTTACATTCATATATATGCGCATATATACATATACATAGACTCACATACACATACACAATACATATACACATAGACGTATACACACAAAAACAAAATCAAAAACAAAAAAAACAAAAACTGACACACGTACAAACATACACACAACCGTACTTAACTGCATGTATTTTGTGTATAACCAACATTTCAGCTTATATAGCATAAAACATCAATTTCTCCTATTAAAAGAATAAGACAAATAACTCGGAACATTTCTTCCATCTCAACCTACTTAAACGTGACAGCGGAATCGGACAGCGGCGCCCCGACCAGCACGTCCGGATATCCGTTCCCATCGATGTCCCGACCCCCGGCTAAGCTGAAGCCAAAGCCGGTGACATTCGGAGGGGCGTAAAGGATCTAGAAACGGTGATGATAATGATGGTGATGGTAATTATAATAACTGGATTATTATTATTGACAATGATTCTCCCACTGCTATCGAAGGTAACAACTAGAGCAATAATAATAATTCTAGTGATAAGGTTAACAGGGATAATGATACTGATAATAATAATAATAATAATAATAATAATAATAATAATAATAAAAACATTGATAACAATGATACTGCTACTACTATTAATAATACTATCACTACTGACAATGATGATATTTTTAATGATTATAATGAAAATTACAATCCTAATACTAGTATTGCTAATAACACAAATACCACTACTACAACTAATTATAATAATAATAATGATGGTGATGATGATGATGATAATGATAATAATAGCAATAATTAACATAATAATAATAATAATAATAATAATAACAACAATAGCAAAACAATAATGATAAAGATAATAATAATAATAATAATAATAATAATGATGTTAATCATAATAACAACATTGACAACAGCAGTGATAACAATAATCATCATAATAAACGGTTCTACTTGCCTGAGATGGAGAACGAACAAGGCCTTCGGACGAGCCAAGGAAGATGAAGACTGCGCCGCCGCCGGGGTGTTCGGACGCGCCGACGCCCAGGTCTTCGGTGATGGAGAAATAGATGCATGACTAGATATATAGACAGATATATAGGTAAGTAAGTAGACAGATTGATGGAGAACCTGATTCGCTGATATGTATATTTTGATTGACATACAGAGATTGGAAGCGAGTGGGTGGAAAGGGGAGAGAGGGAAGGAGGGAGGGAGATAGCTAGATAGCTAGAGAGATAGACAGATAAGTAGACAGAAAGACCAAAACAGACACATATAGAGACAAAGGCAGAGACATATAGAGATAAAGGTAGATACATAGAGAGTCAGAAATAGACAGACAAAGAGACAGAAACAGAGAAACAGAAAGAAAACAAAACAAATCTAAACAAATAAACAACTAGACTGATAACTCGACAGATTAAACAGACAGAAAAACAAAGACAGTTGAATTTTAACAAAAATATTTACCGCTGAAGGAGTCATTGTTGATATCTCCCAAACAGGCGACGCTGCTACCGAATCTACCAAATGCAGACCGGCCGTGGAGTGTGATGTTGTAATTCTTGAAGGAGATACGATTATGATTTTTATTTTAAATTGTAGAACAATTTTGACTTTGATATATACATATATATATATATATATATATATATATATATATATATATATATATATATATATATATATATATATATATATATATTTGTAGTGATGAATATCATACTGATTGGTGATGGTTTTGATTGGAATGTGATGTAAAAGGATGATGATGATTGTCAACAGTACGTAGCAAGACCAGATGGCAAACTTCACACCTCCGTCCAAGCAGCTGCCTTTTTCCTTCGGCAGGACGCAGGTGCTGCCTGGCATTCTCTTTTTGCACAGAAATAAACATCCGCCCTCGAAGGGAATCGCTGCATAAAAGGGCACGTGCGTAAGACGAGAGAGAGAGACACGGCAGACAGGCCAAGCCAGACAGGGCCCAGCTCCACCAGCTCGTCCTCCTGCCTGGGACACGGGTGTCTCTTGGGGGGTCTCATATCTATCTTCAACAATAAACCAGCAAGACCATCTCTCTTACACTTACATCTGGTGACAGTGGTGCTCCCAACCTATCTCTTACGCTTACATCTGGTGGCTTGCGGTGGTCACTCGTTACAATGATGGCACTACCAAAGCGAAGTCACTTGATAGCAGTCTTCTATGACCTCGTTGCCATTTGGAAGTATGGTATGCTCATAAAGATGTACAAGGGGGCTTCAAAAAGTTCGTGGAAAAAGTCCATAGCTAAAAATCATATGGAAGGATTTTGATCTCAATCACCTGAACATTCTTGTACCAACGTGTTAGAACGTGTTCAAACATCAACCCTTAAATGCAGGTAATAACGCATCGCTGCTGGGCACTATTCAAGCAACATGGAATCCACCAAAATCGAGGCAAGGAAAAACATTAAATTCATGGTGAAACTTGGTTGGGAAGATGGGAAAATTATTGACGCTCTGGAACAAGTTTATGGTGTCAATGCCCAAAAGAAATCAACAACCTACAAAAGTCGGTTCAGAAGAGGAAGAATCGAAATTGAAGATGAGCCCCACAGTGGCAGGCCATCAACATCAGTTTATGACGAAAAGATTGATGGTGTTCGCAACATGATCGAAAAGGATAGACAAATACCCACTGAATCAGTAGCAGACACACCAACGTCTCTGTGGGTTCTGTACACACAATTCTGGTGGAGAGTTTGGGGTTTGGGTCCTAGGCTGTTACGCCCAGATCAGCAGCAAACAAGGGTATATCAATGGAAATTTTGAACAAGTGGAATGAGGATTCTGCAGAGGGGGGTGAAACATGGTTCTACCAGTACGATCCCGGGGACAAAATTCAATCAAAATAGTGGCCGCCCAGGGTTGGAAGTGGACCAGTCAAAGCAAAATTTGAGCGTTCAAGAGGAAAGGTCAAGGCCACTGTCTTCTTGGATGCAGAGGGGATATTGCTGGTTGACATCATTGAGAGCAAGAAAATAATTACATTCGGAATGCGTATTGAGAAAACTGTCAAAAAAAAAAGCATTCTCTTCTGCCATGATAATGCACCCGCTCACTGTGCTCAGCAGACAAGAGCTGTGCTTCGTGAAATATTCGATATCCACTTTACAGCTTCGATTTAGCCCTATCCAACTTTTTTATTTCCAAATTTTAAAAATAATTGAAAGGCATCAATTTTACATCGGTTGATGATGTAGAAAAAGCAGCTCTGACATGGTTCAAGTCACATGACCATCTGTTTTACTCAGACAGACTTAAAAGCTGGTATCAAAGTTTGCAGAAGTGTATTGACCTTAATGGAGCATATGTTAAAAACTAAACATCATAACTAAGATGGTTGTTTTTTTCATACTGTTCTTTTCCCACGAACTTTTTTAAGCCCCATCATATGACATTGCTTTAAGAGGATTATTATCTACCTTCACAGAAAGGTTCCTTGCTGATAGGAAGTTTAGAGTGCAGGTGGTATCCGCTGAAAGGGGTCCCATAAGGGAGTGTCTCAAGTGTTTGCTATTGCATTAAATGGCATCATAAAGGTCGTTCCAAGTGCTGTCTCGTGTAATCTGTATGTGGAGGATCTCACACTGTACTACTCAAGAAGAAACTTATGGAATGCGCATGGACACATGCAGACAAGAGGAAATTTCCATTTCCTTCTGTTTAGGAGCAAACCCTCTACATTTTGTCCATGAGGTGAAGTACTTGAGTCTAATTTTTGACCCAAGGCTTACATGGGTGCCGCACATCAAACAGTTAAAGGTGAAGGCAAAGTATTTTGCGAGTTCTTTCTCACATGGCTTGGGGTGCAGACCGTTTATGGGGCTTTACCGAACGCTTATTCAGGAACCTATGGAGTCCCTGTATACTGAGAGTGGAGAACCATCTCTTTCATTACCTCGGGACTCCATAAGATCGACTTACACGAGTCTGCAAAGGATTCCGGGATCTCCTACATTCAGATTGGTTTTCAACTCCCTTCAGGACGGCCGATCCTATGGTAGGAAAATGAGGAATCTTGTGGAAGATCTCAATTTGAATCTCTCCAAGGTTCTAGCTGTTGGAACTCCCCCTTGGACCAATCTAGTCAAACTGGATTTGGTCGGAATAGGGAAAGGGGAGAGATCCGAGGCAGAAATCAGGGAGATATTTCTTCAACACACTTCTAACTACCAAGGATCAGATGCATTATATACAGATGGTTTGAAATCTGAAAATGGTGTGGGCTTTGCAGCAGAAGAAAGATTATGTTTGGCAGTTTCTCTTCTGCAGCCTCGATCTTCACTGCAGAGTTACATGCCATCCTTGCAGCAGTCAAAATGCCTCTAGATCTTATGAACCACCCTATTGCAATATATTGCGACTCTCGTTTGCACTGATGTCAGCACATAAAAAGATAACTTTGTGTTGGGTCCCAGCGCATGTAGGTATCAGTGAGAATGATTGGACGGCCAAGGCAGCTGCCGTTCAGACCTGTGATGCTCGTTTTCCTCTTCTACCCAGCATCAGAAGTTGTTTTTGTGATATATGGAGGCATTCTTCTAGAAACAAACTGCGATAGAATAAATATGACCTTGGCAATTAGGTGATCAGCGTCCATTCTAACCGACAAATAAAATTTGTGTTAAAAAGGCACAAATATTGGGCACAAAGACTCAGGAACTGATGATGGCTAAAAGTGAAGCACACTGTGAGGAATGCCAAGAGTCATTAACGGTGGTACATGTAGTGGAAAGATGTGCAACATTCTCAGACGAAAGATGTATACACTTGTCTCCCCCATATACACTGGAAAATGTATTGGGGGGAATTGTGACATAGAAAATCTTATCAGTTTCCTAGGGAGAGTAATAATTTAAATAAGATTTAATTATACATAATATTTATGAAATGATTTTATACATTTAAAGCATAATATATATATTTTGACTTATACTATAATATTTGTTGTTATTTATTTCTATTTATGAGACATTTATTGATAGATTTTTAACGTTTTGAATATTGTAACATGTTGATCCAACAAGGTATTCCCCACTAATGACATTAGCTGTTGACGTGGCAGATAATTTTGAATAATCAATCGATCGACACTACTAATAGTTATAAACATTACAAATGATAACAACAGAGATAAAAAAAACATAAAACATCCACACATGCTCATAATAGCATCACTATTAAAACCTCCACGCATCATGATTCCCCCTTAAGAGAGAGAAAAGAAAGAAAGAAAGAGTAAACAGTATCTAACGAGCCCTCCCTCCCCCCCGTCTTCGCCCCGCCCCTCCTAACCTTTAATCCAAAGACGGTGACCCTGCCCACTTCCTTGTAGCCCCCGAGGGTGTCTAGGACTCGGCCGAAGGGAGCTGCCACCACCACCTCATCCTGCCCGTCGCCATTCACGTCGCAGGCGGTGAGGGAGGAACCGGCCATCTCCCCGAGGCGAGAGGTGGCTCGTTCTTGAAGCTCCATTTCGAGGTTCATTTCTTCGTCGAGGCGAACGATCTATAGGGAGGAGGTTATGAAGTGTGACAAATAGAGGAGTAAAAAAGAGGGAAGGAAGGACAAGGAAGATAGGAAGGAGAGTGTGATAAGCGTGAAGTGTTTCGGTCTTGAAGCTTCGTCTCGAGGTCCATGGATTCACTGAGGCGGAAATAAAGAAAAAGGAAGTGAGGATATGAGGAAAGCGAGACGTATTTCGTTCTTTCGTTCTAGAGGCAGGAGAGGAAGGAGAATGTGATAAGCGAAACGAAGTTCGCTCTCGAAGCTTCGTTTCGAGGTCCATGGCTTTGTCGAGGCGGAGTAGAAGTGGGATTGTGATAAAAGAGAGGTGTGAAGAAGAGGGGAGGAAGGAGAAAAGAGGAAAGGAAGGAGACTGTGATAAGTAGAGATTCAAGGAAGGAGAAAGAAAGGAAAGAAGATG